ATCCGCTGCTCCTCCTCCGCTCATCACATATACGTCTCCTGCTCTTCACGCTATTCTTGTTAATTTTTGCAGGGGAGCGTAGATGTCACTTCACCAACCGACGATCAAGCCTAGTCATTCCATCGATACAAGATCCAGCTATAAAAAGCCATTCTGTCTAAAGTTTTCATCAATTAAACAATCCTCAATAATTGAAAAAAAGACCCGTTTAAAGTAGGCAGAAGTCTGAACATATATTTGATGGTTGCTAGAAGACAAAAGGACGCAAGGTTTCTTTTCTTTTCGTATAAATAATAAATACATGACGAGAAACTTATTTTGGGATATTTTGCTCTTCTCTTTTCCCTGTCTTTCATAATTATGCGAGGACAAAAATATGCAGGAGAGTAATGAGGGTTCTGGATGTTCTCAAAACCTTAGGTTACAAGAGGATGAGCTTGAGAGGAACTTAAAGGGGTGAAAATTTCATGCAAGACTGTCCAAAACATGCATGCAAAATGTGAAGATCACCCGTGGCATCTCCACTTCTTGAATAAGATCATGTCATCTTTCGATCGAGTGCGAAATTATTTTCAGTTTATTTGGAAACCACCACGATGGTATGATGGTGTCTAGTAATCAGCTCCAGGTCTTTAGGAAAGCAAAAACCATCTTTCTGAAAACCATTGGCTTTGGAATATGGGTCATGTGTTAATTAGGGGACCAAAGGCATGTATTATGAGGACCAAAGCTTCCAAACATGGATAAACATGTACTCTTTTTGGTATGTTTTTGCTAGATGAATGATTCGTTATGTAGAAGATAAGCAATGTCCAACGATCTCAAGGGAAAGGAGCCATGATGCTAAAGCTGGAGCTACATCTAACTATGATTAATCATGTTTAAATTTATTAAAAAATCAATTAATCTACTAGTTTAAATTGTTAATTGAAATTTTAAGATATAATTTATTTTAACAAAATAAAAGATTACTAGAAAGAATTATACAGTTTCACTTAATTAGTCCCTGGCCTTAGCTTTTTAGTAAAACGTACTACTACTACAATATATGTGTGTTTGTCCTTAGCTAGCTCCAAGTATTTATGAAAGTGAGACTGCATGCCTTTGCTAAATATTTAAACGAGTGCTTTGTAATGATCTTTGCGAGTGTGGCTACCGAATAACGAAGATTCAAGGCCGAAAATAAGGAAGAAATTGTGTTAGCTCTTTAAAGAGTTTCTTCTTCATGTGCATAACCACCATTATTCCATTGATTTTAGACGTTTTAGTTGTTCGATGATTTCATTAAATATGGAATAGTTGAATCATTTAAATGGAAAATAACTTGCATGCCGAGGTCTCATCGAAAGACTGCCGCCTAGGCTGTCATGCAGCTATATTTGTTGTGATTTAGCACATGGACGGCTTCTAGCTGGATATTTGGAAGACAACCTCACCTTCCCAATATTAATTTTTTATTTATTTATAAAAAAACTGTTATTCTTATCGAGCCTACTCTCTCTTATCGTCCACTTAGTCGATTCATAGCAGAAATTTTTAATTGTTTTCCAATGATATCAACATCTTGATTATGGTTAATGAATGGTTGTTGATTTTGAGTTCACAGTGTAGTCACTGTTGTCGTAATGCGTATGCTCTGTTGCATGACCCATCTTTTATAAGAAAACATTCCCTCTTGTGATTTTTCAAGTGTTGCTTTTTGTTAGGTTCATCCCCCCTGAAAATTGTTGAGCCAATCAAGGTGCTAATTAGACCAAATTAAGAAGCCCACATGGACTATTTTCGTATTTAATGACCATGGTGGCTCATCATGACTTGTAGTACCTAAAACAATTTAGCATGGAACCCATTTATGCTATGCTAAGATTCACATTTTCAACCAATTATTGCCCTGTAACTTTCAACAACCTCTACATAAATAATAATAATAATAATATTAATAATAACTATATTCCAATCAACTTTTAGGAATATAAATTAATTGGCTAGATTATAAATTTATTTTTTAAAAATAATCCAATCAATTTTTAAGAATATAAATTAATTGGTTAGATTATAAATTTATTTTTTAAAAATAATTAATTTAAGTTTTATAGACCTAGAGGTCACTTAAAACTTACATAATTATTAACTTTAAGATCACAAAATTAGTTAAGGTATATGAAAACTTGCCCAAACATCTATGTTAATAAAATAATAATAATAATAAGATTCTAATTAATTCTGAGTGGTGTAGTTTAACCGGTCAGATTTTAAATTTGCTCTTTAGAGGTAATCAGTTTGACTCTTACAAATTTCAAAGCCATGAAAGCTTACACGATCATTAATTTCAGATTTTATAGAATTAGTCAACGTATGCACAAACTGATCCATATACCTATATTAAAAAAAAAACTTCAATTGCCATATATATTTGTATGTATTCAATTTGTGGGTTTCAAATAAATTACAAGAACCAAACAATTCCCCGTAGTGATTTTCTTCTCTTTCAAATAAATTATAATAGAAAATTAATGCTAACCAAGGTTGTTAATTTCATTTTAGTAAGTATTTTATTTTTTCAATTGAAATAAAATGTTTCAGTTTCAGAGTGTTTCTGCATGTCATTTCAAGATTGTTTTGTCTATATATATATATATATATTCAATAAATATAATTCAAATTCAAAATAAATTAATTGAATCAAATATGATTTTAAAATTTAAAATATTACTAAATAGCTAAAATTAAATAGATCTTTAACTTAAAGTAATTCAACTTAAACAAAATATCAAAATATTATGAAAGTAAAATGTTTTAACATAAATATTTTAAATATAAAGTTAGGTGAATGTTATCAAGGCTAATGAGATCTAAAGTATTTTTTATTTTGCTTAAATTCCTACAAAGCAAAAAAACAAAACAAACAACAATATGAATACAAACCATATATATTAGTGATAAATCTAATCATAAAAAATTAATATCATTGTTAATGAGAATAATAATAATAATATTTTTTAATATTATTATTAATATTAGTGTTATTGAAAATAGTAATGAAAAAAAAAACTTTGTATACTTAAGTGGTTTAATTAATTAAATTGAACTTGATTTTTTAAGACCGAAATAAAATATGTGGAATGAAATTGAAATATTTAGTTTAAAATTTAGTTAAAAAATCTAGAAAGAATCAAGATTTAAAATAAAATAAAAATTATTTTATTTATTTTATTTTTTAAATTGATATAAAATATCATTTCAAATGAAACAGGATGCAACCTTTATGCTATCTATGAGTGTGATTTAATTTAATTAAAGTCCATCCGGGAAAAGGGGCAACCCATAGTCTAGAAGCATAGAGAAAAAGGTGAAATTAGAGAGGTGGCATCCATGCAAGAAAAGGTCCAAGAAAGAATGAAGAGGCGGCAGTGCGTTCAGACATGTAAAAGGGATAGAATATGAGACCACTCGCCACACACATCCCCTCGAAAACGCCATTTCAAGCTCCCGGTTTTCAGGAAGTCTTTTTCGATGGTTCCATCCCATTTTCTGAGCTAAAAACAGGTGACTGGTTTCTGGTTTTTTTTGTGTACGAACACTGGCGATTAATATCTTAATCATGATTAAGATAATTATAATCAAGGGACAACATTAACTACTTTAGTTTGTCTCAATCGCATCACCTTAATCCTAGGATACCCAACATGGATTAAATTATGTATGCAACTTGGTAGAGATTTGCACTCCACCCCTAGATGGTCGGCAGAATGTATTATTTTCTATTTTTGTGTACAGCTAAGAAGGTCCAGTTTGATAGCTTTTATTCTTAAATGTTTTTTAAAGTATATTTGTTTAGAAAAAAATATTAAATTAATTTTTTAGAGTTTTTGATGATTTTGATGAATATATATATAAACGAAAAACACTTTTAAAAAACACTTTATATTATAATATTTGTTTTTGGCTTTTAAAGCCACGGGGAGTCTGTGATACACATTTTAATCAAATTGCAAATTTAAGAAAAAGAAGAAGAGGGAGTTGCTGGGCTGTTAGTAACGGGTAACGGAGTTGAGATTATAATGGGCTGGTAATGGTCTTAGCCCAACTTCTCTTTGAACTAGCCATGGGCCCATGACATTCTTCTTTGGGCTAATTTAAACTGCAAGACCATTTTCTTTTGTTTTTCATGTGAAACTAGTAGACGGGACCATTAAGAACCCCGTCCATTCCTTGTTTACTTGGCCATTTTCAATGCATGCTGAGGTGGATTTGATCGTTAGAGGACCTAAAGCATTGCTTTCTTGTGACCACGTATTTTTTAAATTGTTTCTTTTTAAAGTTGTGTTAAAATAATATTTTTTATTTATTAAAATTTATTTTTAATCTTAATACATTAAAAATATAAAATAATAATTTTAAATAAAAAAATAAATTCTAACTTATCTTTATTTGGATCGCAATTCCAAATGTTGAAAACCAGATTGCTGAGCTTTCATGAATGTTTTGGTTTTACTTTCCATGAGGAAATTACTCCATATATATATATTTATATATATATGAAGTTGCTCCATATATATATATATATATTTATATATATATGAAGTTAACAAAGCTCTAAAATCACTGTGTCAATGGCAAGCTGCCAAGAACCACAGAAGTGGTCATAAATATCTTAAATTAAGGGAACGGAGCTGAAAGAGAGAGTGGAATTAATCGAAAGGCTGCCTCAGCAAGAACCATAATGCCATACCCATAAAGTAACTAGCATCACACATCCATGACGTCCTCCATGGGATGAGATAAGGTCATGGAGCCTCTTCCACGTGGAAACTTCTTGGTGGTGCTAACGATGAGGCTAGCATTTAGAGAATTCCCACCTTCATGTGGACAGAATACTGCAAGGTCATCACTTATCGTATCGAACGGTCAAATTCCGCTCATTATCAACTCCACTGATTTGTGACCGTAGGATACGAGGGAGACAAGTTGAAGCGCTATATATAGAAGTGACAGTGAAACGAGTTTCAGTATTGAAATCCTAGCAGAATATCACATTTATAGGGAGCACTGCATAGCTTATAAGCTTGTAAGAGATGGCTTCCTCTATGATCTCATCGGCAGCCGTTGCCACCGTCAACCGCACCCCGGCACAAGCCAACATGGTGGCACCATTCAATGGTCTCAAGTCTGCCGCAGCTTTCCCAGTCAGTACCAGAAAGGCTAATGACATTACTTCCATTGCAAGCAATGGTGGACGAGTTCAATGCATGCAGGTAACCTAATCTAGACAGACTTCACACTTCGATATCGGTAGATTCAGTACAGCTAGCACGCTTAATTTTATTTTACCAACTTGGCAATTAGTCTTCTGTGCGCTCACTGTTTTTTGTTGTTGTTGTTTTGACCACAACAAAATGTTCATACATTTTAAATATAGGTGTGGCCACCAACTGGATTGAAGAAGTTCGAGACTCTTTCTTACCTTCCAGATCTCACGGAGGCGGAATTGGCCAAGGAAATTGATTACCTTCTTCGCTCGAAGTGGGTTCCTTGCTTGGAATTCGAGTTGGAGGTGATGAATCCAATCCCATAATCACACAATTCTCACTAATTATTGTTGTTATTATTACGAGGAGGTGACTCATTAAGGAAAGAGAGTAGAATTGGAGCCCTGCTCTGTGCTTTTTATCACTAGAGTACTAAATTAATTGCACCTATACTATCACATTGAACACATTATAATTATAAACACTGAATTGTCGTCCCATTTAACCAGATGCTTGAGTCTGACATGGTTATTGAAAGAAGCTCAATCAAAATTATGAATGTATGAAAAAAGGAATTAGTCCATGCATGGTCGATTCAGTAATAACTAGATGGGAATCTTTATCTGAACCTTGTAAGAACAGGCTTATTTTTTCTTTTGTGAAATTAATTGTATATGTTGGATTATGCAGAAAGGTTGGGTCTACCGTGAGAACCACAGGTCACCAGGGTACTATGATGGACGCTACTGGACTATGTGGAAGCTACCCATGTTTGGATGCACTGAGGCATCTCAAGTGTTGGTTGAGCTTCAGGAGGCAAAGAAAGCTTACCCTAACGCCTTTATCCGTATAATCGGATTCGACAACGTACGTCAAGTGCAGTGCATCAGCTTTATCGCCGCCAAGCCACAAGCTGCCTAAGTCCCAAAACTTGATGTCTCCCTAGCTATATCTGTTAGGGGTGGTTTGTTTAAATTGTACTTAGACCTTGGCAAAATGCCTCTTCCTTTTTTTATTGGGTTTTTGGAGATGAATATTCTACTTTGTTTTTGTTTTTAGCTTCTGGATTCGGTTGCTGAAACGGGCGAGAATTGTTGAATGAAAAGTAGATTATTTTTAAATCCGGATAATCCATGCTCATGAAAAATGCTTTATTTTTACTGGCAGCTTTGGTTTCATGCATCTAGTGTTAATTTGATTTTAAGTACCCTTTGAATAATGGCTCTTGCTTGTGGCTAGCTATAATTAGTCTTCAAAAGGGTATGGAATGAAATTGTTTACTATAATTATCTTGGTTTTTAACCTTGGAGCAGGTTATATATCCCTTAATCCTCCAAGATACATGGATAATGTCATTAATTAGGCTTTGGACACAAGATTAATGTTCTTAATGAAGAATTCCAACGTGATTTATTCGCAATCCTTGGTTAGACTCCCTGCCCAATGCCTGAGAGCCAACTTGTCCAAGAAAAGACCATTTTTAGCTTACAATCACTTTGAAGCAGAAGAATGACTCTCATGACTACAAATGGAGTTCAAATATGGTAACCTAACTGCATTAAGAGTCCGATTTAAAATTGGCTAAACACACACACACACACATGCTCCTTAATGTTCATCATCAGCCTGCAATTATCTTTCTATTTTAAATCCAGATAACAGCGATTGAAAGGGCACAGAACACACAACTCCCAACTCTTTTAGGTATAAAACCGTAGCAGCAAATGGAGAAATATTCAGACTCAGCTTCATTGATTGGTTTTAATTACTAGAACTCTAATCTAAGCACATTAATGGACCTGAAATTTACAAATTTGATTGAGCATTTGAGCTACTAGCTCAGTGTACACTACGTACCTTTCATATGAAAATGTCATATCCATCATGGAATTGAAGCATCTTGTATTGTATGTATATGTAGGCATTCCATATCAGCTAGGGTCCCCAAGTGCAACACTGACCCAGAGGAAAATGACAGCCTGAAATTACAAAGTCTATGGACTAGTATACTCCCTTTTGTTGTTGTTTTTCGATCTCGAACTTCAGAAAATAATTTTCTTGTTTAGAAATGGATAAAATATTCAAATGAATTCATCAATCAGCTAAGCTAGAGACAATGTTCGTGATAAACGTAAAGATGTAAAAACAAATCCCATTTTCTCAGCCCCAAGTTGAGTGGACAGTGTTTTCTCAAAATCTTTCATTACAGTACTATCCATATGGTTCGGTCATTTTTTTTAATAAAAAAAACTTGCATGGTTTCAGTCATTGATAGCTACACTTGTGGAGATGCCCTAAGTAAGATAAGATGAATTAAGGTAGAGATAACAAGTGTTCCTTTCTTTCATTTTAGTTGTTTCCATTTTGTGTTTAAAATCTCAATGTCAAGGTGCTTTTCACCATATAGAATTAAGATGACACATAGATTTAAGTTTTTTTTTTTTTTTGTGCTAGAAGAAATGATTGTCAAGAATCTCTTTCGCATAAAATAAAGGAGAAAATAAAAATCCTACGATACTTTCTCGAGTATTGATAAAGGTAAAAGAGTGGATTTTAATAAATAATAGAAGACAAAATCTTTTGTAAGGAGTGAGTTTTTACTAAAAAAAATAAAAAAATAAAAGGAGAAGTCTTTATTTTTTACTTTAGCAGATATGTTTGTAAGAGATAGAGTGCTCTTTGCTAGGGTTTGGGGCGGAGCCCAAAATTTTTTTTTTTCTTATACAAAATTCATAAAATTCATTATAGCATATAAAGCTCCAAATAAAATTTAGTTAAAATAACAAAAACACAACTAAAATTAACTCTATAAAAACATATAGGACTTAACAATAATATGATTCCCAAAGAAAAGGAACAAACAAATTAAAGTTCTTAGAATTAGCGGTAATTGCTGAGCCTTTCATTTCTCTTTTGGGGTTCACAATGACACTAACATTATCTTCAAAAAATATAAAAACACCATCTTTTCGGTGCCAAGGTTTACGCTGCCTAACAATGACAGCATACATAACCTTCTTCCTGAGATCAGGCTTCTTCTTTTTGACAGTAGCCATTACCAAATCACCAATGCAGGCAAAAAACAAGCGGTTCAAGCGACCCATAATTCTCTTCACAGATATAATATAAAGGTTATGCAGGGAGAGTATTGAGTTTTTTTAAAAAACAAAATTTACCCTAGGCTACAGCCCACCTTAGCCTCCTACATTCCTCCGCCCTTGATAACAAGTGTTCCTTTCTTTCATTTTACTTGTTACTATTTTGTGTTTAAAATCTCAATGTCAAGGTGCTTTTCACCATATAGAATTAAGATGACACATAGATTTTTTTTTTTTACTGTATAACAAAGAGAAGAAATTGTAACTGATTTGATTTTTATGTTGATGCTACTCAGGTTCCAGAAATGGAGTCCTGCTTGACTGGCAAAGACGCTTGAGTATTATTAAAGGAATTGCACGGGGGCTCTTGTATCTTCATGAAGATTCTCGGCACATATTTTAAGAGGAATTTAACATATTTTGAGGAATTTAATGGATGTTAATTGATTAATTATTTAATCAAACCCCAACATCTTTTTTATTGAAATGGAAAATATTGTTTATTGCTTCTAGGTCAACAATGTTGAACTTGTCTTACACATATAATTAAGGGCACCACCAAAGTGCATTAATTTTTTTAATATAAATTTCTCATAATATTGATTTAAGGTTTGAATCTGGATAATTAGTGAATAACAACCACCTGAAGTTTCCTGTCTAATATTATATAACTATAATTCATTTGAATCAAAACATTATAAAAGAAAAACATGAAAGGATTTTAGTTTTTAATATCAAGAATAAGAAGTTTTGCAAACCACCATGATTTATTATCTGGTGGTGCATATCTTATTTATAAACAATATTACAACAAGTAATTGATATACAAAGTCAATGTATCAATATATAACTATGGTCTATAATAAAAGGATTGCTGCTAGAATCATGCTATTGTTTATACTCAAGGGATTGCCTAGAATTATGGGATTGAATTTTGATAAAATACATAACATGATTTGAAGAGGACGTTATGGATTCCTCTATATTTGTAATACCCCTCGTAAGCTGAGCATCTCAGAATCAGAGATGCAAAGCTTGGAACATAAAAAAATAAAGGCAAGTTGGCCAAGACTTTTGGTGAGAATGTTAGCCATTGGTAAACAAGTGGAAACATAATGAATCTTGAGTTCTCCAAAGGCCACTAGTTCTATCACAAAATGATAATCCAAATCAATATGCTTGCAACGCTTATTAGAGACTATATTAACAACGAGAAAAATGGAGCTTTGATTGTCATAGAGTATGACTGAAGGAGATGGAAAAGATATATGAAAATCTCAAAAAAGATGTCACAACCACTTAACCTCGGTTATAGTAAGGGCCAATGCCAGATATTTAAATTCACAGCTGGATAGAGAAATCGTTGGTTGCTTCTCGAAACTCTAGGATATTAGATCACCACCAAAATAAATGGTATAACCAAATGAATGTGTATCCAGACACCTAGCCCAGTTGGAATCTTGATAAGCAATGAGTTCTCTAGAAGAAGATGGAGTGAAAGATAAACCACACCGAAGAGTCCTCTTAACATAATATAGTATCCTTTTAACAACATGAAAATGAGAAATAGATGGTTTATGCATGAACTGAATGACAACACTTTAACATGAGCAATATCAGGATGAGCGATTATAAGATATTGAAGGGCACCAACGAGCGACTGGTAGAGGGATGGATCATCAAAATCAGGACTAGTTATGAAAAAATATTGAGCGACTACCATGACAGTACCTATTGGTTTGAAGTTAACTAGTTGTGCACGCTGTAAGATCTCACGCTCGTACATGGATTAGCTAAGAAAAAAGACCATAGATGTGTGATGAGCTTCTAAACTCAAAAAACAGTTCAAGGATCCAAGGTCTTTAGTGGCAAATTCACGAGTTAGCTTGCCAATAAATGCAATGAGGAGTGTCGAATGGCTGCCAGTCATGGCAATGTTGCTAACATATAGTAATAAATAGATTAAGTCAGCATCTTTGGAGAGAACAAATAAAGATGAGTAAAAAAATTACAAGTAAAGCCACTAGCCAAAAGAAAAGAGCTGAAGTGATGGAACCATATTCTTGAAGCTTGCTTGAGGCTATAGAAAGCTCGATGACTCTTTCTTACTTTCTCATGGGTTAGACCTACATGTTGTGGCTGCCAATTGGGTTCTTTCTTACTCTTGTCTTGGGTTCACCGAAGAAGAGACCAAAAAGAAGGGATAGGCCCTTGTTATTAGAAAATTTGTTTTTTGAAAACTACGTAATAATTTCTCAACTTTGAACTCTATTAAAATTACTTTTTTTTTAGAAAAAGAAAAACTTCATGATATTAATGCGATTGATTTGGTACACATGCACCCTCTAATATAATTGAATTGATTCACATAAACATCTAATAATTTCTTACCTCTTTCAACCATTTTTTGTCCATTAGCATGAATTGTTGTCAAAATAAGAATTTTTACGGTGATAAGAATTAAACTCTTAATTGATATTATGTTAAGTGGCCATTGTAATTAAAAAAATTAAGGTATTGACACTATATATATATATATGTATATATATATATATGATTTTATATCTAAATTTTTTTAAAAATTACTCACATTTCTCACTGTTATAAAATATGTTGTAAAATATTAAATATTATGTTTTTCTTGTATAGTAGGTTATACCATAACAAATATATATTATCCTAATCTTATAAATAGTAGAGGGGGCTATCTGATTAGCCCTCTCTCTAAATTATCACAACCTTGTATCGACTCTTAACAATTAATTTTATTTCATAAATCTAAAGTCTTAAATAACACAAAATGCATTACTATTCTCATCTTTTGGCTGCCGAAGAAGAAAGTAAGAAAGTAAGAAACATATTTTTAGAAGAATTTAATAGATGTTAATTAATTAATTATTTAATCAAACCCCAAAATCTTTTTCATTGAAATGGAAAATATTATCTTATTGCTTCTAGGTTAACAATGTTGAACTTGTCTTACATATATAATTAAAGGCAACACTTAAGTGCATTTTTTTTTTAATA